CCTTGCCTACGATCAACCTGTCCAGGTTTCCAAGGGGAACTTTGGGTTCCTCAGTCATCCGTGGGCGATCGGCAGGTGAGTTGCCTTAGTCCCACCAGCCCTCTGGGCGTAGGTGATCTAGGGCGCTTCCTCTTCCAACCCTCTTCTTCCCCTGCGGGGAGGGGTTCATCACTGCTTTTTATTAATAATCACCCCCTCACCCACCTGACTGGCAGCCAACCCGGAACCACGCGGGCACCCTCCACACCATCCCTGTCAAAAACATACAAAATGCACATTGCGGGGCCCACCCTGCCAACACCCTCCACAATCCCTGCCAGGAAACAATACGAATTGCACTTTGCAGCAACATCGGGACAGTGCGCTGGCGCCGCGTGAGCACGTTGATATGTTGTTGTTGGCAAGGATGGTGGGGCACCCTTAATGAAGCCTCTTTGTGCAAGACCACCATCCGTGTCAAAAACAATGCAACATGTACGTTGCGACAACGTCGTGAATATTGTGCTGGCCACCCGCGATCACTTTGTTTTGTTTTTTGACACTGGCGGCGGTGGTGCCCGCATGATGGTGCTTGGTGTGCGCAGGCCCGGAACAATGCTGACGCCACCCCACACAAACACATCAGCATCTGGACCGTGCGGACGGGGGGATGGCACACCAACCGCAAGTGGAGCCCGCGGCGAGCGTCACGCACCTGGCGTCCGTTGTTGTTCCCAATGGCTGTCCATGTAGTGACGACCCCTGATTATGCAGAGACTCGGATGCCACTGATGTGGTGGGAGGGCGGGTGGGAGTGAGCTGGACGGCTTGCGTGCGGAAAATGTGTCCTGACCTTTCCCCCTACCCCTCTCCTGGACCTGGACGGGGGGGTGGCGGCGAGGCGTTAGAGCGTCCAAAATGGCCCAAAACGGCTCCAGGAGGGCCCTTGAAAGTTCCAGATGAGCTCCATGATGGCTCAGGAGAGCGCACGATGCCTCAAGATGGCTCCCAAGATGCTCCAAGGGGCCCTAAAAACGCTCCAAGACTCCAAGCGGCCTCCGCGACCTCCGAAGAGGCCCCCACAGAAACCAACATTCTTCAAACATTTAATGCAACTCGATGATTTTTGTTTTCTTGCCTTTTCGCTTCTAATGGCCATCCGAGGCCCCAAGATGGTTTCAATATGGCCCCAGAGAGCTCCAGGGTAAGCCCAAGAAAACCCTACGGCCGCAAAAGCTCCCAAAAACGCCCCAAGAGCGCTCCAAGAGGGGGCCAGGAGGCGATGTTCGGTGCCCCCGATGGGGGGAGGCTAGAGCTCCCCTCTTTTTTGATCGATGTACTCCAAAATGGCACACATAACACACCTGAAGTTCCCAAGAACGCTCCAAAAGGGCCCCAAGAGGCGCCCAGACGGCAAGACGCCCCCAAGAGACTCCACACGAGGCCTCAAGAGGATCCCCGAGGTACCCAACTCTCCCTCCTTCTCCTCCTTTTCTCTCTTCTCGTCCTCCTCGTCCTCGCCCTACTCCACCTCCTCCTCCTCCTCCTCCTCCTTCGACGACGACGACGATCCCTCCCCCATCCTCCCCCTCTTGGGGTAACGGCTTCCCCCGCCCTTTGTTTCTACATGCTTCCCCAATTCCCTGATCACCTCAACTCCCCTGGGCCTCGTTTCTGGATGGGATGGCGGGGGTACATTTTGTTCGCGAACGCGCAAATGTGCCAGGCGCCGTCAGAGCGAAGCAGCAAGCCACGATCTAAATTAAGCCCCGAGCGCGCAGAAGCGAACTACGCTGCGACTCGGGCGGCAACGAGGACCAGGAAGGGCACCATATCCACGTGCAGTGCCATAGTGTCGACGAACGGGAGGCCGGCGCACTCGAGGACCACCGGCGCGTAGTCGAGGAGAGCGAAGGGCGGGCGCGCAGGCGCTCCACGGAGAAAGTCCGGATCGTCAAGGGGGAAACGTGCAGGAAGTCCACGTGCACGAGGACGATGAACGGGCGTGCAAGAGGGGATGCGCGACGGCGGAAGCGGCCACGGCGGGGGAGCAGGGGCAACGCCAGGGCACCACGCCAGCAGCGAGGCGACGAGACGTAGAAAGCGGCGGCGCCAAGCCTGGGGGACAGGTCGACCCTGGAAGCGGCGTGGGGGGAGGACCGAGCGTCCGTCGACCCCGAGTGGGCGGGAGCGGCGACCCCGGGCGAATCGCAGGCCCGAGAGCCCAAGGGCACCCCGAATGGAAGGGGCAGGCAAACCATCCTCAGAGCGACCAGAGTGGCCGGAAGGGGGAAAGAGTTGCAGCCCGGCGACCAAACGGTGGCCATGGCGCGAAGGGCCGAGGAAACCCAGAGTCCTCACTCGCCAGAGCGGCGCCGCCGGCGCCGGCTGCGACGACCCAGGGTGTCGTCGATGCTCCGGGGGGGGGTGCCAGCGGCAGCAGAGTGGCGCGGGTGGCTGCGAGGCGTGCCCGCGGCGGGTGCGCCGAGGAGCAGCGGGGCGCGGAGGGGCGGCGCGCGCGGCCCCAGCAACCGAGCGCCACCCGGCCCGGTGGTCCCGCGCAGGAGACGACGGGGGGGGCCGAGAGGGCCCGCGGCGACGCGGGGGCGGGCGCCGGGGGTGGGCGACATGGCGCCGAGGGCGCAACGTCGCGAAAGGCTCGCGTGAGCAAGCAAGAGGGCCAGGGGAGGGCCAGCACCCCAACCGGGCGCACGCGGGGCGGTATCAGGCACGTGGCCGTAGCGGCCGCGATGCGGGTCGAGGCAAGGGGGGGAGACGGCGGCGGACAGCCGCGTGGTCGGAGGAGGGAGACGGAGGGAGGCGACTGACAGCCGCGGTGGAACGAGGGCAGAGAGTGCGGGGGGCAGGGAGTCGGTGGGAAGCGACTGACCGTCGCAGAGTAAAACAGCTGACCAGCGTCCGTCTTGCACGTAGGCAGCGAGAGTGCAGGGGAAGGGAGTCGGTGGAGAGCGAGTGACAGTCGCAAAGTATATTGGATGACGTGGGCGAGTGCAGGGAAGGGAAACGGTGGGAAGCGACTGACAGTCGCAGTGTAGATTGGATGCGAGCCCGATGGGCAGGTGAGGTGAGAAGCGACTCACAGTCGCAGAGTAGTGTGGAGATGACCAGTGGGCAAGGGAGGGGGGCGCGACTAACAGACGCGAAGTGTGAGCGTGCAATGTGCTGAATCAGGGCGGCCAAATATGTTGCCGCGAAGGAACTAACAGTACGGGTCACTCCGCGGAGGAGGGGGCCAGAGCCCCTGGGACAGCACCTATGGCGGGCCAGGGGGGGCGGCAGTCGTCCAGGAGGCGAAAGGCCGCAAAGGGGGGCCAGGAGCAAGGGTCTCCTGGGGGCCAGGGGCGAGCCAGCAACCCCAGCTTGGCGTGCCCGAAGCGGCAGCAGGCGCGAAGCCAAGGTGGCGCGCCGCGGGGCCCCGATACTTTTTGGTCGCAACCGCAGGCGAGAGCGCAAGCGGCGAATCGTAAGTCTGGGGCGCGGGCCTACAAGCAAGCTGGAGGCTGGTGGGGATACGCGAAGCGTCAACAATTTCTGGTGGTGGGGATACGCGAAGCGTCAACAAAAATTGAACTTTTTGTTCGTGGCAGTGGCTTTCATGCAGGGTGCAGGGTTCCTACCAAGTGGGCAAGGGCAAGGGTGCATACTTGTTGTTCACTTCTAGGGCAAGGGTTCCTACCAAACTGGGCGCTTCAAACATTGCCCCGCCTTCGAAGGTCGAAGGACTGCCGTGCCCTCCGCGGCGGAAGGCCCGTCGATGGGCCCGTCGACGGCCAAATCCCAACGTTCCTGGGCGGGGTGGGGCCATCAGACCCCGGTCGGCGATATAGAGGAGGGCAGCCCACAAGCAACCTTCCACAGGAAACCCAACCCCCCTGCAACCCCAGGACGTCCATCGATCTTCGGTGTGGGAACGTCGCGCCTTCCACGGCAAAACCCTCGAAACTCAAACAAACCCAGGCAAACAGGGTGTTTCTCGGCACGGGCCTCCACTGTGCGCTATCAGGATGCAAAGCCCCCGTGGGTGCCCTAGCCGAGGCTCCTCGCGCGGGGCTGGGCATCCCCGGGCGCCCAGGCCTCTCAAGCGCTGCGAAACGAGCGCCTCGCTCGAAACGTCCTCAAAGATTCGGAACGCAGGGCGCGCCATCCAGGAGCGGGAACGCGAAAAGCCAACACCCCGTCTGCAAAACAAGCGCGGGGCTCGAGACATCTTTGAAATTCCTGCGAGCACGACGTGCCATCCTCGAGCGGGCAAGCAATAAGTTAACTTTGCCATATCTATGGTAAAATTCTACAGCCTCCTGAACTCGTTATTTAGAGGGGATTCTGCGCGAAACGCTCTGCATCCTCCTTTTACGAACGAAAGCGGGGGTCTGCTGACCCAGTAAGGCAACGAGGCTCCGAAATGGGGGGCACATGTTCCTCGCGCGGGCACGTGCGAAACACATGCTTTCCACGCCGAATGGGACTCCACCTAGTTTTTTCGAACGAGCGGAAACTCGCCAGCCAGCCTCAGCATGGGACTAGGGGACAATCTGTCAGTTTACCGACTCCAAGAGAGAACCCTGGGCCCGCGCCCCCTCCGGAACAACGCACTGTGTGACATGATTGCAGCGCACCTCCTGCCTGGCAAAAACTTTGGACGCCCGAAATGGGTACCGAAAAAATGGGTACAATGCCCAACAGCAAATGTTGCCCCAAACCAACAGCGGCCGCTGTTGGGCAGGCGGCCTCCTGTCTCGAATGGACACGGGCCGCGGCGGCGTGGACAGCGAGCCCTGTTCAAAATGAACAAGATCCGCTGTTGGGCATTGTACCCATTCTTTCAGTACCCATTTCGTGCGTGCAGAAAAACGGGTCAAGTCGGGCCGGCTATTCTCGAGACAGCGCCCGCGCGACGCCAACGTCCAGCCGACGTGCACCGCCCGCTGTGCGGTCGAGCCCTCTCGGCGGCACTGCTGCACGCGACGGGTGCCGGCAGCGCGCGGCGCCGGCCAATTGGCCTAGTCCTTCTCCCCAGAGGTGATGAAGCCAAATCCTCTCTCGGGGTTGAAGAACTTCACGACCTCGGTCGCTATTTTGAAAACTGGCGCGCCTGCCAGGGTCCGCTCAGGAGGCATCGGCGTGCCCCTCCTCCACACCATCCGGGCCATTGTCCGTTTCGGCTGCTCGTGCCCTCGTCCTCCACCTTGCACTCCTCCTCCTGCTCCGTCTCGTCGTGCTCCTCATCCTCCGCTTGAGAGGTATCGAGTACTAGATCTACCGACAATCGATGCAGACAACTCTTCCTGGGATTCTGCAGGTCGGATCGGAAGGGCCTGATCGAGCAGAGACAAAGCAGGGTTCAGTGATCTTGGCCCGCCCCCAGCGCGCCGAGCTCGGCGACGGGACTGGGCAGACGCCGGGAGAAGTGGATATAGCACGGCTCTCAAACCACCACGTGGCTGCGAGGCGGCAGGATACTCATGTCCACCATCCGGGGAACCGACGTCCTAGCACTCCAGAGGGCGGATGTGCATGCGGACATGGATACGCACCTCGCATATCTGCGTATATGAATAGATGAGCACGGACGCACCCCTCACGCTCGGGGCGTCACGGACCAAACACGTAGCCCTTGTTTCGAACCATTTTATACTTAAACCATCAACAACAAGATGAAGTTCAATGAGTTTGAACTGGATTATTCGCACATCTCAGTTTCGCCTGACACATCCTCCAAAGACTCGAGCCAAAAACTCGAGCCTCTTTTCAAAACGATTCTTCGACAAACGCCAGCGTCGCGTGAGACAGCCTCACAACACCGAGCCCCGACGAACAACACATACACATAAAACACACAGCACTCATAGCGCACACAGACCACACCAAACACACCACACACAAGACACAACACCTACAAGACACATAACACACACACACACGTACAGAACCCACACCCACGCACGCACACACACACATGACACACAACACACCCAGTACAAGCAACACATACACAACGCACACACATACACAACACACACGCACACCGAACACACAGAACACGCAGAACACACATGACCCACACACAACTCACACTCAGCACACAGCACATAGCACACATGACATCAACTTTACACAACACACGCACACACACACATCCTACACATGTGTTTGTATGAGCCTGGCCTTGTCGAGTCGCTCTTGTCGCTCATTCGTGTGCCTTGAAGCTGATCGGAGCGGCCGGGGGGAGGCCCAGGAGGCGCCGGAGGGGGGCGCCAAAGGGGGGAGGGGCAGAGTTTGCACGTAGTGCGTTTGTGGGCTTGTGCCGTTGCGTGCCGCCCTGCATCCAGAGAATGAGATGCAGTAGTTGCACCCTTCTCCTCATCCTCATTGTCCTCCACCTCGTCCCGTCCTTCTCCTTCTCCTCCGCTCCTCCTTCTTCTCGTCCACGTCATCACTCCTCCGACTCGTCACCCTCCTCCGTCTCATCAGCACCCTCCTCCTCTGCCTCCGCCTCCTCCTCCTCGTCCCCCTCTTTCATATCATCCCTCTCCTGCTCGTGCTCTTCCAACTGTTGCAGCTCCTCTTTCTCTTCTTCCGCCTCCTCCTCATCATAAGCAGCATCATCATTATCCATATCCTTATCCTTATCTTCGTAGTCCTCCTCTTTTTGTGTCTGTCTGTCCCTCTGTCTGTCTGTCTGCATACCTGTCTGCCTGTCTCTCTGTCTGTCTGTCTGTCTGTCTGTCTGTCTGTCTGTCTGCCTGCCTGCCTGCCTGCCTGCCTGCCTATCTATCTGCCTGCCTGCCTGCCTGCCTGTCTTTTTTGTTTGTTTGTTCTCTCTCTCTCTCTCTCTCTCTCTCTCTTTCATAAGCATCATCAGCACACTCATGCTGAAATCGGATTGTCTTCTTCGTCCTGCTCCGCGACCGCAGCTTCCTCTCCTCCACTATTGGTTCGCACGGGTGCTTTGGGAGCCCTTCATGAGCCACGAGGGTCTGTCCTACCCGGTAGGAGTAACGCTGAGCCCTCTGAGGCTCTCTTGGGAGTCACTCGGGTTGGTTTCCATGGGCCACTGGGACCGTCATGGGCCGCCTTGTGTCATTGTGTGGGATCTATAGGCGCTCTCTGAGATCTGCTAGGGGGCCTGGTAGAGCGTCGGGAAGGCCGTCGGGTCAGGGACGCAGTCGGGTATGTCGACGGGGGGAGTCAAATCCTCTGGCAATGTAGTTGCATGTCCACGAACCGCTGCAACGATTGCGGAATCAGGATCGATCATTATGTCATCTGTCGAAGAGACCGCAAACAACACGACCCTCACAAAGATGATGAACCAACGCGTGAGGCCACTGGGTGACGATGGACTTCCTCCTCCTCCTCCTCCTCCTCCTAACGGTGACGATGGCAGCGACGGCGATGCCGGCGGCGACGGCGACGACGACCCAGCAACGTCGGGGTTGCCCGTGGGGACGTGGATCAACATTTGCTAAACTTTAACGCGCAGGGAGCTATCGTGCTACGCTATACCCCTCCGTGCGGACGGATCCGCGAACGGACCGCGTCTGGGGCAGAGTCCCCTGGGGCCTCGAGAGACATGGAAGCGTGAAGACATTGATGGGCAAGCTTGATCATATTTTTCTCCAGGGCAGGACATCGCTCGCGCGAGGACTCCAGGCTTCTCCACGAATGGAATGGACGGCTCGCGACTGCATATCAACCTCGCGCAGACCGTAGACAGCATGCCCTACCGAGCCGCGCGGCCCCAAGACTAGGAGGAAAAGAGGAGGGATCGCAGATGGTCGCTCAGACTTGGCACACCCTTCAGCTTGAGAGAGCCACGCGGGGGCGGAGCGGCGGCGGGCGCCAGGCGGAGGAGGGCGCGGGCCGGCAGCAACCAAGGCCGGGGGGGAACCACGCCCGCAAGAGGCCCGTAGAAACCCCCAAAGGAGGCACCCCCAGATGCCTTAAAACTGCCTCTTTAAGAGGGCCCCCGAGAGGACCGCATGTACGTGCATGTGCGGGCCCGCGCGGCCTCCCGAAGAGAGGTTGCACAGGCATGTGCGTGCATGTGCCGATGACAGATCTGTGATCCTCGAACACCTCCCGCATGTGCAGGCATGTGCGCGCATGTGCGTCGGACTGTGCGTGCATGTGCGTATGATGGATACATCAAAACACAGCGCACATGCCCCCGCACATGCCCGGGCACGACGTGCACAGTAGGAAGTCCATCCAAGAAGGACCGCACAGGCCTGGCACATGACTGGCACATGCCGCGCACATGCGCGCACATGACAGCGCAAAAACGGCCGCACATACACCCACCCAAGGGTATAGATGTGAGTGCGGTGTATCCCAACGAACGTCCACGAAACCTCAGACCCACAACCCAGGAACGGTGGCGGGATGGGCCCGAAGGCGACGAAATACATGTATGTAGATATGTGTATATATACATATATTAGAGTGAGGGGCCGAACCGTCATTTATTGTCCCTGGGCGTGTGTGTGGCTGCAGTGAGGATCTGTGCTGAAGATTATGCTTGTTGCGTTGTTGTTGTTGTTGCTGCTGTTGCTGCTGCTGCTGTTGTTGTTGTTGTTGTTGTGATTGTTGTTCTTGTTGTTGTTGTTGTTGTTGTTGAATTCCCATTTCTGAAGAAATACTTATTGTTGATCCCCCCATCACCGGTGCATGCTGTTTGTCTCAATCAAAGTGTGCCCCTCGACGCTCGCACCGCGTTTTTTGACAGGGAAAATCTTCCTGGTCAAACTGGCCCCCTGGGCCCCGGGTAACAACAACAACAACAACAACAACTGCTCCCGCCTGAGACTTCCTCACAATTTAGCCAGGACCCCCGCTCCCGCCCGAGATTTCCTCGCATTTTATTCCGGAATCGCGCTCTCGCTTGGGACTTCCTTGCAATTTATTCCAGAATCGCCCCCCCGGCGCTCTGGAGTGGCGTTTTCGCTGGAGACTCGGTTGCAACTTACTGAAGAATGGCCTTGCGTTGCAATTTCCTGCAATTTGCCCAAGCGCCGCGCTCCCGACACCCAGGCACCCAAGAGTCGCGCCCATTGTGGCCCCATGTGCATGTCCTTCGTGGCCCCGCTGTCTCCATTTGTGTCCCCTCACTGTCCTACGTGGCCCAGTTGCTACCCTCAGTGGCCCCATAGTTGCCTTCTGTGGCCCCGCATGATCTGCACTTCGTGGCCCCCGATCGTTCGCGCTCACGCATTCCCTTCGTGTCCCCGCTGTCGCCCTTCGTGGCCTACTTCGTGCCCTTCGTGGCCCTGCTGTCGTTCTCTTTCGCTCTCGCTTTCGCTCGTCGTCGCCGTCGTCGTCGTCGTCGTCGCCGTCGTCTTCGACGTCGTCGTCGTCGTCGACGTCGTGGTCGGTCCCCTGTCCGTCCCTCTTCGGGTCGGGTCGACGGTCCGCGGCCGCCCCGCCGATCAGCGCTGCCGCTGGCCAGGCCGACGGTCCGCGGCCGCCCCGCCGCTTGCCGGGCCCGGCCTGCAGGGAAGAAAGGTATACCCCCCAAAAAGGAGTTCGATCGAAGACGAAGAGGGCGGGTATCGAAGGTTTGGAACATACGCGTTATTAGACACTCGAGCAGATAAGGGCGAATTGTTGTTGTCGTTGTCGTTGTTGCTGTTGAACTGTCACTTCTGAAACATAATTATTGTTGATCCCCCCACCCGTGCATACTGTTTTTTCTCAATCAAAATGTGCCCCTCGACGCTCGCACCCTGTTTTTGCCAGGGAAAGTCTTGAAGCTGAAACTGTGCCCCTGGCCCCTGGGTTACAACAACAACGGCTCCCGCCTGGTACTTCCTCACAATTTAGCCAGGACCCCCGCTCCCGCCCGAGAGCTCCTTGCATTTTATTCAGGAATCGCGCTCTCGCTTGGGATGTCCTTACAATTTATTAAAGAATCGCTCTCCCGGAGCTCTGGAGCCGCGCTCTCGCTGGACACTTGCTTGCAATTTACTGAACAATGGCGCCCTTGCGATGGAATTTCTTCCAATTTGCTCAAGCGCACCGCTCCCGACACCCAGGCACGCATGAAACGCGCCCGCTGTGGCCC